TCTTGGTGATCGCTCCAGGTAAGACAAAGTCTGTGTACTGACTGGCACAACTGGGTACTGGTAGATACTAGTATTGTATGAGCTAAATAGCTACTATAGGACAACAGCAGGAAAAAATAAATCTTGAATTAATAGCAAAGATAAAAATCAAGAATAAACCCTTATAAATTCTACTAGATCTTCAGATACCCCCCCTTTATTCACCATCTTAATAGTTATCATCCACTGTACCAACACTGAGAGATTCCCAGGAAAGCTGACAGATATAGTTACTCATACTGTCCATGAAGCCCTAGCTAGGACACCAAGCTCAAGATATAAGATCCATATATCTATACTTAAATAGTTGTATAAGAAAACATGGAATTGTCAATAACTGTGAATCATAGAAACAGGACTTGGATGGCTAACAGAAAGCAATCTAACAAGCTTGTCATTAGTGGAAATAATTTACAAGATACATAATAGACCAATTATAATGCCTTTTACAGTATCTGACCTTTCTTGGAGTGGCATCCTAACTTTTTCAGAAAGAATTATTGTAGTTGTTAGGAGGGTAGCGTAAAGTGAAAGGGCTCGCTTGAGGGTGTTGTATTTTCATGTGCCATTGCTGACTAAGCCATCACCAAGACTTTTATCTAGTGACTGTAGTTTGTGACAAGTATGTGGAAGGTGAGATTGCTGATGGCAGTGTGAGTGATGGATAGGTTTGCGGGGCAGGAAGAAGCATGAATCTGGAAGGTTGTTTACAGCCTGAGCGCCCATGAGCCTGCTGGTAGTAATTTTTGGATTTATGTTTTGATGAAGGGTTGCAGGGTGGTTTACCATGGTAGTAATTTTTGTTATGATTTATGGGTTACGAGGGATGTTAGCTAGATCATATACCTGTTTGGTGCGACTAGGATAAATAAACTTAGATTGAATTTGGACACCCTTTCTTATATGCTAGGGAATTATCTTATCCACCACAATACCTTCTCTTTGGCCTGACTGGGGTCAAAGTTTCTTCACATCACTTCCCTCATGGAGTCATCACCCTCTTTCGTTCTACTCTTCTCTATACAGTCTGACGGGGCTTCGCAGAGTCCCTTGTCACCAATATTTTGGCCTCAGAACCCCTCCTCACTTAATCAACCATGAAGTGACACCACCACCAGTGTACCACGATACTCAAAGGATGATTTTACAACCCCCAACAGGGCCTTTACGAGTATACTCGATCCGTTCTTTGATTCACAAGGGTTTGAAGCACCAAACACCTTTTCGAAATTGTTTCCAATCAGCATCTATATGATACAAATAATGTACAAAGACTACAGGAAGAGACCTGATGGGCTAACGGAGTATATCACTGTCCTTACTGAGGAACTGGATGCCCTTCGCACCTCCACTCTATCTCTGCCTGCTCCTACTACTGCCTTACTAGCACCTCCTACTACCAATACTACAGAACAGCCCTCTCTGCCTCCTCTACCCTCTACGTCCAACAGCTCCCCCTTCTTGGGCTACTGTCACTTGGAGAGCAAGGAAGCCTTCTCAGAAACCCACGAAGCCTGGCCCCAAGCCAGCCAAACCCAGCTCTATATTGTTTAAGCCCCTTACTGAAAATAAAAATGATCTTACCATGCGCAAGCGTCAGCTCATCATCAAACATAACACTACTCTCCTTACTACCACTACTGTACAGCTACGCGACAGCATCAACCAGGCCTTAACCTCCACTCTCATTCAGTCTTTCTCCTTTTAGGACGGTCATGTTATCCTCACTACCATAGACATGGTTAGAGCCACAACTGTTAACAGCAAAGTTGGCACCTTTTGGCACCTTATTCCAGGTGCCGCTACTGTCTATCCTAACCCCTCTGCCACCCAGCTTCTGGTATATGGCATTGCTACCTCTACCTCTCTGGCATCCCTCGTCCAAGAACTTACCACATTTAACTCAGGCTTATCTCTTACCGAACAGCCAAGGTGGCTCACCTCTGATCTAGCACATATTGGCAAACTCACCTCAACTGTTGTTATTTCCATTACTGGACCTAAGACTTCCTCTTTTGTTGGCAAGCATCTCTCTGCCTTCTCTAACACCTACCATACCGAACGCTGTCCGAGCTTCAACAAATCCACTCAGTGTGCCAACTGTCATAAGATTGGCCACCACAGCATCAAATGTATCCTGCCTCCCTCCTGTCACTGGTGCCTCCTCCCTCACTCTACTGGGGATCACTCCTGCCCCACCACTACCTATCGCCTTCGCTGCTGTCTCTGTAGCCATACCACACCCAGGTGTGTGAACTGTGATGGCCCACACTAATCACACTCACCTGTCTGCCCTTCATGCCCCTGTCCAGCTACCCAAGAGTTTGAGGTTTCAGAGGAACATAAAGAAGAGGTAGACATGGACAGCTCTGTATAGGTTGGAATACCTATAATGATAAACACCAACTTCTGGGGTGGCTCAGGATAGCTATTATGGGAAGGGGTCTAGGAAACTAGTTCTTGAGGAGGCTTATCACGGCACCTCTTCGCCCTGTGATCTGAATACTTGATTGGGTTGCTGGTGCATTTTGGGAGGGGGATTTATTTTGTTCATGATTGCACCTTTGGGTGTGGGTTGCAAGGCCAGAGCAGTGCTGCTGGTAGTAGTGTTTTATTTGACTTGGTTGGGATTTCTGTGGCCTGGCTAGGTGGAGCGGATAGGTGCTGGGCTATTGATGAACTTGTACTTTAGCTTTGGTGTTGGTGCTCGCTCACTGGAGTGGTTAATGGTATGGGGTTGGAGGACCAGTATCTTGTATTTAGTTGCCTGTTTTTAGAGGGGGTAGCAGGGCCCTAGTCCCATCAGTGGATCCTGACCGGTATTAAGCTGCTGTCAGGACGGTACTCGATCATAAGCCCAGATGTGGCGCGACAAGTATAAATAAACTTCAGTTGAATTTGGACACCTGTACCTAGGAATTATACTTCTCTCTTGCTTCACGTTCTCTTGAACCCTTAAATCCTGACCCTGAGCCTCTGAACTCTGCTCCTCATACAACTCAGTTAGGTTGTATGACTGTTCCTAGACCTCACCTCTGAACTCCTGCCTACTCCGATCGTGGTATGCCTTGGGCTACCCAACTTTCAGACCCTGTCCGTTACAGATGCACAGGACACAACCAGACCCAGCGCCCGAGTATCAGACGTACAGGATGTACCGGACGCCAAATTCTCCCTGCTTGCATCAGGCTGCACTGCCCACGCATCTGACACATGAATAATATTTGCTGATGCTACTTTGTAGGTCTCTGGAACAATAAACATGATTTGAAACAGAGTAGTATTGGGGGCACGAAGAAATTTCACAGTCCTAGAGGTCAAATTCGTTGTATTTGCTGCTACCTCAAAGTCAAATCAGGATCTGAATGTTGCTAATCTTGGCATATGCAAGCCAAGACCCTAAACATGACTCTGGATACATGCAACGCAAAGTCTCAAATATCCTAGATTACCCAGATCATACTTCTAATATAACTCAAAAGTATTACTTCAATACCAGAACACATATCACCTATTTCTTCATCCCACAATTTAAGGAGTCGCAACGCAGAATTTCTATACAGTTGGCTACCATATTTTAGTCAACAAATCTCAACTTTCCTCCTTCAATATCCTTGCAGAAGCTCCCGCCCCCTCAAGAACCCTTACCACAAATAGAGATTAGAGAAAACCCCCCTTCTACTCCATCCGTTTTTATAAAAGACCTATGATACGTCTCAGGACGCCGAAGTTACCCCCTTATCTAATGCCTTGTCTCTCTGCTTTTTTCTATCACCTTCCCTCGTCCTCTTCAAAGCGGCAGTCAGATGACCCGAGACATATCTCTAGGTTATCATACCCAAGTTTCTACGCTCTTCCTCAGCCCAAGCACCAAACCCCCTCTCCGTTCTTTTTAGGAATAAAAATAAAATAAAAAACAAAATAAAACGGGTACCGTACGAGTACTTGTAGAAGCCATCCCTACAGGCACTCAAAGCTATCACTTGGGAGTGTTTGACACGACTAATCTATGGCCTAAGACCACGTCTTGGCGGTTTCTGCCTGCCTGCAGATTCATCCAACTACAAACCTTGATTCAGCTTGGGTTTGCAATCCTGTGAGCCAGAATTGCCAGGACGTGATTCCCAAACAGGAAATCTGCTATCGTATGACAGGCTGAAGTTAAGTGGTGCGTGAGCAGGCGAGTGCTGTCCCTACACCCGTACGATGAACTTTGTCACCGAACAAGGCAAGTACAGGTGCAGTACAGTACTATCAGCACAGTACGCGATACATACAAAACCGTTCTACGACCGATAGCATCGCACCGTGCATATACCCCTCCACCTCGGACGCAGCAACCAGACAACACCCCAGTATCTCACAATAATGGTATCATACAAGACAGGGTATCCCAGTGGGCGTCCTTCTCCAGGCCCTGGGTTTCGGGCGGGGGCGCAGGTCTCGGTTGGAGTTTGTTGGGATGATATAATGGATGGAATGTCGAACTGGGGAATTGGAGAGGAAGGAGAATTCTGCAGAGGGTGTATGCCTATACAGTGCGATGGGCACGAACCTTGGGTATGGTATTTCGTTCCAAGTGGCCGGCACTGGTAGGGGCAGATCACATTGCAGCTTATCGGTACTGCACAGTACGGCACAAGTACAATGCTCTGTCCAATTGACTACGATGCAAGCACTCCAACATACCTCTGGCCCAAATCACGTCGACGAATTTCAACTCAACTCCATGCGTTTGTTCGGTATGATGTTCGTTTGGTCATTAATATTTTTGGCAGCACCCCCTTCCTTCCTATGATATCCCCCCCACACAGACACTCCCTTTCTGCTGCCATCGCCGGGCTCTTTATGATATTGTACCGCATCTTCACCGACCCCCCCCCCCCCCCGCCAACCCCCACAATTCACTAACCTAAAGCGCGTCCCGCTCCCCAAACTTCCCAGTACTGCACGATGGCATTATAAAAGAAACATGACATACTCGCTAATCAGACCACGCAATCTTCTTTTTCCCATAAACCACATTACTCTGATCCCGTTTAGCAATCGGATGGAAAGAAAAAAGAAAGCTCAAATCGAAAGAAGAAAAAAAGAGAGCACAACTGGGGAATAAGACAGCCTAGATGCAGGGGCTAGGGAATACAAACAGACAGCAATGAAATATTCATGTAAGAATGGTCCACCGAGGGCTTTGAACAAGCGAGAACCATGGTAATATTGTGTGTAAGATTCTGATGAATATACCACCAGATCCGCTTCCGCCAATCGGTTCTCTAAGCAGGTAGTTTGCCCTCATTCTTAGCTTCCTTGACTTGGTCAAACACCTAATCATCGAAACGCGTTAGTAAAAAGTGTTGTGAGGATGGCGATATATTGTTAAACTAACCTTGAGCATCTTTCTCCTTGCTCCGAGAGCGTTCACCCCTCGTTTCTCAAGCGCCTCGTCATCCAACTCGACCAAATCTTTCCAGTTGAGGTCTTTCAGATTGTCAGTGTACTTGTGGAGACGGAGACTACGCAACCAGGCAGGAATGTCATTCAGAAGGTTGGGGTCGGTCGGGTCCTCTGGGGGCTTAGAGCTTCCTCGTCTACCTCTCGGGCTCCTTCCACGTCCATTGACATCATCAGAATTATAACCTTCAGTCGACCCAGCGAGGCTACCGAATGTGTTTAGAAGACCGCTTCCGATCAGGGGCGACTGAGCAGCAAGAAAGCCACCGGCTTGAGGAGAGGAAAATCCCATACCGCCCCATTGGGCAGCAGGGGAGCCGAACACGCCGGGTGAGTTCGGGCGGGAACGGCCTCCAAGAAGAGGCGAGCCATTGTTCTGCTGCTGTGCCATGGCAGCAGCTGCAGCAGCCGGAATCTGAACCAATTGTCCATGCTCGTTGTACATAGCGATATTATTTGGGGACAAAGCGGGTACATTTCCGTTATTCCGAGGAGAATTGAGCCCGACATTGCCATGCCCATTGCTTCCGTTAGGATCCTTTCCGGTCCTGCGCTTTCCCCATCCCTTCGGGTCGTTATCAAGGATGATCCGGTTATTAACAGTAGACAATGCAGCCAACTTCATAGCAGCAGCGTTAGCAACCATATCTGCCCCCGGCGATTGCGAAAACATCGGTGCAACTGGTGTGTTGACCATTGATGCCCAATTGCCAGATGATGTATCACCATAAGGAGAGAGTTGGGGCATCTCTATACCGGTAGCTGTGGGTGCGTTCAAGGTGGTGGTCTGAAGGTTCGTATTTCCAGTAATTTGGGGAGGAGGATTCCTCGGAGACCTCAATCCGGCAGATGGTGGAGGAAGTTGAAAGTTACCCATAGAATCTGCCGCAGACTTGGGACGGTTCTGCTCACTACCCCCGTCGTTTGTCGGGCGATTCCAGGGGGAGGAAGGCGGGTTATTTTCCTTGTTGGCCGGGGTCGAAATGGCAGGGGTAGGAGCCAACGAGGAAGATGGGCGAGAGTCAAACAACGCACTGTTACGGTTGGACTTTGCTCCACCACCGCTTCCTGGCTGGCCTGAGATTAACGCACGTTGGGCAGCAATTGCGGCAGCCGCGTCCGGGAACATTGACTGGACAGCCGAATCTACGCCCGAGTTTCTATTCGGCGGTGCTCCAGGAGAAGGCGGAGGGCGAGAGAAAGAGTCGCGAGCATTGCCAAGGTTCATCTTATTCATAGCATCGTTCATACGAGAAGCCATAGCGTCTGCAACATTAGCATCCCACACGAACTCGCATCACAGGGGAATGGTACCTTTTTCAAACGTGTTGGGGGACAAAATGTTGGACATCGGATGAGATCTCGCCATTTGCTGCAGAACTGTAATGAAGAACCGAATCTGGACTTGGGTGGTCTGCTGCAACAGAGCATACAAAGCTGCAGTTCTCTCGGCTTCACTAAGGACCCGGAACCACTGCTCGATGGCACTGAGCTCATCCTTGAAGTCTTGATCCAGGGCCGCGGATGCCATTTCATCGAGGGTATTCTCGTACGTTTCCAAATCGTTAATCCACTCCCGTGCCGCCTTGTCCAACGCTTCGGTCTCCGCATTTTGCGAGGTAATCTGGGGAGGATTCAGAAAGATCTCAGAGGAAGGACGGATCCGACCTGCCAGGGGAGATTGAAAGGCACCGGACATGTCGGCAGACGCTCTCAAATGATGGCCAGAGCCGAGTGGTCGGGAAGATGGAGGACGAAGTGAGGAGCCACCAGTGGTCGAGCCCTGGTCTGGTGTGCTGTTTCGATTCGACATTGTCGGAGCCGTTTCAGGTGGTCGAACTGATATCCGTTTAAAGTTTTCTTGAGAAAGGGTCCAACGGGGTCTTTATGTATAGTCCGTGCAAATGCAAGAATATATTATGTCTCAGAAGGCAGATGTAACGTGGCCGGTAGGGAAGTCCGTTAAAGGTGGCACGGCAGGGAGGGATGGCTTCCCTCTGGGTCCGTATGTTATCAAACACGAGGTGAAACCGAAATGGATAGCAATTATTGGTATGTCGAGGAGGATCAACCACTGTAACAAAATCGTTAGGGCGGGCGGTACTGAAGAAGGCGATGGTTGGAGCTTCTCCTGCAGTGCCTGCTGACCTCAAAGGAGCTTTGCTGCGGTTTTCTGTAACAATCTATTTTGCTCTTGAAGGGTATGGGCTTGTATCCCGCGTGAACAGAAGTAAACCGAACACTCGGATAAACGAGATTCTATTCCTTGTTTGCCTTCTACCAACGAGCCGAGATATTCCGGCGTTCGAACGAAGAATCGGTATATACGGGTTGGGTGGTCGAATTGAAAGAAACAATACCAGCCAAACCAGTGGAAGTTGATGAAACGTAGCACAGACGTCTGGTTGATTAGTTTAACGAGGGAAGGGTATGGCAAAGTCAAGCGATCCAAAGATGTGAAAGGTGGTGAGAAGGAAACTCGTTGAACTCTCTCGGCTCAAATAATGAGGCCAGGTGTTTTAAGGAGGTTCGTCCGCGGCTGGTAGCAAGTCAGCAAAAGGAGAGGAGGAAGAGGCAATATCGGTACGACAGCGGTAGATAGCGGGGTGCTGTGCGAATGTACCTTCTGCAATCAACGCTGGATAACCCGGGGGAATTGATTGTGACGGAAAGGAGCGAGTATCTCGTGCAAAAGGGGAAAGTGGTGGGGGGGTTGAGGGAGATCGCGGGGGGAACGAGGAGGAAGGGAGCGGAGCAGCAAGCAGCGACGGAGAGAGGAGAAAAGAGAAAAGAAAAAAAAGAAGAAAAGGGTGGAAGGGTGAAAGGGGGTGGTGAAGAGGAAGAAGAAATAAGAGGCGCGAGTCAGACAGGAGGATAAGGGAAGGAACCAGATACCGGTATAAGGGCAAGGCTTTCAGTCAGCACATATCATCCCGGAGCCGCTAAGAGGGGGGCAGAGCGGAGCGATGGAGGAGCAGCAGACGCCAGCTGGAGTCGGTGGAGAGTAGGAGAGGCAAAAGCCAGCTGCGAGGCAGGCAAAGCGACAACTTGGCCTGTTGTCTGATTCGGCTCCCTATGGTTCAGAGCGGCAAGCTCAAAAGTTGGTCTCTCCACCGTACTCCAGTACCTCATTTCACTCCTAAAAGGAGAACAGCAACCCTTCCACTCTCGACGGTCGCTAGCCAGGCCCTGTAACCAATTCCAACCAATGGGGAAGGGCAGCCAATTTTCGAAATATCATACTGGGCTGGTCTGCAGCGCTGCAGAGTATCGTGGGCATTATGCCTTCCTCATCTCCTCGCCAAAGCAAGGCCATTCCATAAATTGAAACCATTGAATCCCCCCTACTCATCCAAGGATACTGTACGAGTACAGTACTTGTGCCGTGCCGGACTCCAGTGCTCCCCTAGCCGGCGCGTACCACCCAGGTCCCATCGTTCCATGGGAACGCATGACAATGGTCTGTCCGGTTGAATACAGTGAGAGTTGATCGTGACGCCGAACAGCCACGATCACAACAGTCGAACGCCGCGGTGATATCGGTACGGTGGAATATTACAGGCAAACGGGGACGCTTAGATAATGCCCTAATCATAAGCTTCAGTTTACTCTGCTCGGAAACTTGGGATGAGTATATTCTCTCGCTTAATTTTGCGCGCGGGCTGGCCATAGTGCCCGCCGCCTCGAGAGGGACGGCGTATGAAGCCTACGTGTATTGTAAATCAAGTAAAAGCCGCAGGAACACTCATTTTCTATCCTACCGTGGCGACATCTGTAAGGTAGAGAGAGAACATGGTACCGGTATGATCATATCAGGATACATACCTCCTTCTGTTTTGAGCATCAGGCTCGGTGCCATAAACGCTGCAGTAGCAGTACCCAGTGCATCAACCGACTTTTGCCCCCGAGCTTCAGGAACCTGACATTCCCTACAGCCACCATCTGTGCAGCTTGGCCTCTGCTCCCATCCGTTCGTTTGCAGCACTTCCGCCCTGACCGGGTAGCCTAACCTGACGGACGCCGCCGGGCACCCTATCTACCAGCCCAGTGTGCATGCCGCAGTGCATGCTTCCGTCACATCACCACATTCATCAATCCAGCCATCGTGGCATTGATGAAAAAGTCATCATCTTTGCGGAATCTGTGTCAGGCTAATTATGATGCAGGTCTCTCTCTCCGCAGCTACTGTACCATGCGTTATGAGTTCCAAAAATAAATAATTACTCTCTCTTCCATGTCTCAAAATTTCCCGAAGCTTTAAGATAAGGCTCTGGTTACAGTCTTCTAGAACGAGCTTAAAAAATGGGTCCCGTACTTGCACTATGCTCGTACGGTGGAATGCGGCTTTCCCAGGAGGACTTCCCCGTTTGCGATACCAGTATCTACACCTTCCTTGGCGCAGTTTCGCGGTTTCGCATTCGACCCAGCCAGGAAGGAGAAAAGACACGAATAGGGAAGGAGAGGAAAGAAGACGAGAAAATTAAAAAAAGAAAGAGAAAGAAAGAAGATAAGGAAACCACCAACAGTCTTCCGTACAAGTATGAGTGCTCCCTCCTATGCATAGTGGCGGGCGTTTGGAATCTACCCCCGGAACAGCAGGGAAGGTCGAGAAGAGGACCCGAATGGCAACAACAAACCAGGGTGTAATAGAGAAAACAGGAACATAGATGTGACGAAGAAGTATGTGGAAAGAGTTCTATGAAATTTTTTTTTTTCAACTAAAGGCCAGGAGAAGTCAGGCGGTACATGTGGTACCGTACATGTCAAGTAAGAAGGAATTCGTATGGGGGGGGGAAAAAAAAAGGGAACATCCAAGAACAGGCCCAGAACGGCAATTCGGGTGACATCTGATGATTAATGCCAATATGTGTTTACATAATCAGCAGAAAAGAGGCGCCAGGGGTGCCAAGAGTGCCAAGAGAATGCAGAAAGGTCCCTGTTCAAAATCACCAAAAGCTGAATACCGTAAGAGGGTTGATTTCAGATGTCCGGCAATTCCCTTCCCAACAAACGACGCCAACGGTACTTGTATGGCGCATCCTATCGATACATCCGATATTGTTATCTAACTTTCAACGCCCCTCAGAAACCTCAACTACCGGTATGGCATTTGAAAATCATGGCATAAAAAAAGTGCACTTTTGGTTTTCCTTCCCCGAGCGGAATCCTTCTCCCTCCAACATGCCTACCCATCGGCTTGCCCACTCTAGGCCATTCTGGCCTTCCGTAAAAACAATGCCCGTTTAACCTATCACATTACCGTGGCTCCTTTTTTCTGATTTGGGGGTTTCTATTCGCGCTCGGGGTCCGGATTACCTAATGATCCTGGGATTTTGTGGTGTCGAAAGTATCCGGAAGGGTTTTTCTGCATGGAGCATTTCTTTTTTTCTTTCTTCTTCTTTCCATTTTTCTTTTTCTGCTCTTCCCGTCGGGATGCGAGTGACTGTTAATGAAGTACCGGTGCCAGTATTTTTCATTTTTTTATCCCGAAGGCTTACTGGGACAAGTTCTGGTGCAAGTGCCGTGCCGTAGAAGCCAACATCTCCTGAAGGCCTCCAATCTCCACAATCAGGGAATAAAATTTCCCAAGAAGGAATAGCATTGTCATGCATGGTATAGATTGGGCGAGCTAAGCTTGTTGGTTCCCATTAACCGGGGATCGTTATTCTATTGACTTTGCTAACCCTATCGTGGTTTTGGTACGGTGATTTCCAGCGCGTACCGTACTTGTACGACACGATACGAGTGGCCTGGCACCCGTAGTGGGCTAGATTGGCTTTTACAGATACCGGTGCTCGAGTACGGTAGGACAGCATGGCAATGGAGGCGCCGAACAATCGCCCGGCTCGCGGCTTTTTTTACCGAGGGCGGGTAATTTTTTGTCTCTCGTCGGAAAAGGGATAAATTCCGGTGGTGAAGGTGTACTGTACTCGTACTTGCGCAGCAGACTTTTGCATGGGGAGAGGAATTAAGGGGAGAGTGTGCCGGAATGGAATAATTAGAATAAGGCGGCCTACGCAGGGGAAGCAAACCTTTCTAGAAAACGTACCCAGATCTTGATGATGCGCGTTGCGCGGGTTCTTTCACTTTTTTTTCTACTCTCTAGCTTTGTTAAGAGCTTTGTTAAGATACCGGTATGTGGGTTTTCCCATTTGCCTGGTCTGCCTGATCCATTGTGATTATTGGGGATGGATCTCGAGTGCTCACCGGACTCCGGGAGTCAAAGTGAAATATCGCACTGTGGTATGTGCCACAGAGTGGCAGAACAAGCGAAATTCTTCTGCCTGAGGAACTTGGGGACTCCCAGATTGGAATTCTATATCGCGGGGCGAGTTTCTATCACTGCGGCTTCGTACCGTACCGTTACTAGGGGCTTCGGTCCCGTTCGTGGATACAGCCAAAGCGGCTCGAGTTTCCACTTGATATCTTAGAGTTGGACCGATTGCGAACACCCCCTAGCGATAGGCAATAGGCGTTTTGGGGAGTTTTTCATGAATAGTCTGCCCCCATGCATTTCCGGGTATGATACCAAATCGTATCTCCCATATGATACCCGGAACTTCAGGGATGTGAAAAGCGCAAACTTGAATATCGTCACCATTAGCATTATGTTCTGTCTGCACGGTACAGTGCTTGATATTTGGCCTTCGCACGATGCAATTTGCCACCTCCGCAATCGCACTTCTCACGATGATGATTCCCGCCATCAAAGCCCTCCCGTTCAATGAGCCGTTAGGCCACGGGGCATCAATACCTGACCAGATATCACCGGGTTCCGTGTTCGCAGGTACCCGGCCGTAAGATATCACGCTCACGGAACTCTACACTATTTCTCAAGACGGTCGAAGTTCATAATACATCACTCGTTTTCAATAAATCTGGGTATTTTCTCGCCTCGATTGATATATTTTGAGTGGGAATGTTTCGGGCCCGGGAAAGGGATTTGGGTCACTAGTTCTGAGTGCTTCCGAATTGGGGATTGGCGGAGGTGGTGCTAGTGAACGGGAGGTTGTCATGTCAATCGTGGTGGAGGCGGAAGCGTTCTAGCTGCCGGAGGTGGAGGTGTCAGGTTCAAGAAGAAAATTTCTGCTAGTGACAGGGTTTGTGCCTGGTCGAGCGCCAAACCGTAGAGGTGTCTAGCTGATTTCCTACAGGACGCGAACTAGCCCACACTAAAGTTTTGAGGTCCGGACCGGTACTTAGGTAAAACCTTTTGGCCACAAAGATGCACCCACATGGAATTCACCAAAAAGACTCCCACAGTTATATGAAAAGAACTTTTTGTATATTGTTTCCTACCAAGAGCAATGGGTGTCGCTCGGTTTGTAGATTAACTGCGTGTTACGAGTGGGGATAATGTCCAGGAGTGAAGAAATTCGGATATCTTGTTATATAAAACAAGATTTTTCAAAATGACCGGTCACGTGAGCACACGTGCCAGGATATGAGCAACCCACCGGGAAACACCAAAAAAAAAAATGGGTAACTAGAAAGCAATAATTACTCTTACTAGCAGTCCCCCATAGAGACTTCAAGGGCCTATTGCTAGTGATACTACTAAAATGACTGACAGGCAACCTGGTGACCCTACCGCGAACATTGGTGGTTGCGAAATGTTTAGGGCCTGTTTGGATGAGATGGTTCCGTTCCGTTGGCCCATACAAATGACGATTTCCTTTCTTTTC